TGTACAAAGATAACAACGTCACTCAGAGCAATGGGTTTTTCCCTTTTCTACATCTGTATGTTCTCGTAAAAGAGCTGAGGTTTCTCTTCTCTACATCTGAATGTTCTCTGTAACAGGATGCGGTTAGTAGCTGAATAAGTTCATCATCACAAAAATTATTAGGTGAAAAGTCACGTAGACATGTAGATTGCTTAGTGATCAATAAAAAGGGCACATCTCATGAAGCTGATCACATTATATACAATTTTTCCTCTGACAATGGCTGAAACACAGAACTGAGTGATTTAAGTCAGGATGTGACCATTGATAGTTGTTTTAAACTAGCTCTGTATGCAAGGTGTTTAATAATTCCTCCAATCACATCACACAACCTTCTTTCTACTGGTTTCTGCAACAGATTGCCTTGTGTCAAAACATGTGCCATACGTGTTTTGTGAAAACATCAGTTCTACATACAGTTCTATTATTTTGAGTATTGACTCTTCAGATTATGTTTCCGTCTGAACTAACTTTACAGGTTTTGCTTATGATAATAGAAAATAGGGGAAATGGGATTTTACATTAAGTGGGTTGCTTTCATTTGTGTAAGCTTTTCACTTTTCTTAAATACTTATTAAATGTTTTAACTGGCAAATCTTGGATTCTGTTTGTTCTGCAGAGAATATTATTGAAGAAGCCATCAACTCATCCTCCAAAGAGATGGGTGAGGCCAAGACGCTTCTATTAAAGATCGTCTCTCGACAAATCTACAAGTGTTTGGGAAAAATGAAAAATCCCACCATGGTGTGCAGTAATCTCTTGTGTTTCTGAGCTTCTTTACACTTTCTGACTGTGGCAATATCAATGCACATTTTAATTGTTTAAGGGTAAAAAACTGGATATTGTTATTAGAATTTTGTTAATCATTAGAAAATAGAAGCGTTAACTGCAGTTTAAATAATTTGAAATAAAACCATCATCAAAACCATTTATTACAACCGGCACAACTTTCACACTCAACATCATACCTTTCAAATCACACCTTTAAGGTTTTGTGAATGGTTTTGTCATCCGTCATGAACACATGACAAAACCATGTGTTTGCCTGTAGTTTATACCTTTTAGGTTCCACTTTTTGGAACACACTTCTGTGAATTTCACTTTTACACAGAATGATTCATCAACACTGCCAAGCTGCAATGTTTCGACACAAATAGCTGGCTATTTTCAGAATGTTTAAAACAAAAAACACCCCCCCCAAAAAAAAACAACTAAATAAATAAGCAGAGCTAATTTTAAATACATTATTGAGGCAGATAAATCCATTTCAATAAGTGTGAGAAGATTATTGCATAAGAACTACATAAGGAACGAATGTTTATACTGACATGAACTAAAAGTACATTTTGCCTGTGATGTGGACATGCTCTTACTGTGTGTGGACAAGATGGGCTACATTTCAAATCTCTTGTCCCTCTTACTTCTCACTCTTTCTTCTACCACCATTAGCCAGAGATTGATACTTGGAAACAGGAATTGGCCCGAGCATGCCCACCTGGGGACAATCAAAAGGTCACAGTTACAGCCAACGACTTTGAAATTGTGGTGAGTTTTTGATCATCATTCGATTTGTAAGATATTTACCTCTGCTGTGAAACCATGTTTTTGTATGAAACAGGCTTCTTTATAACTTTCTTTTAGCACTTTACCATGGATTATGGGATAACAGAAAATGAACTCATTGAAAATGTATTTTTCTACAAAAAGAATCAACCTGACAAACCATTCAACCTCCGTGAAGATGAGGTCAGAACCAAAACAATGAATTAAAAAAGTTTTGATCTTGGTATATTTCTATAAGTTTTTTGCTGTTTGTGTGTATATTTTTAAGACAACCTTAAGGACATTGTTATTTTAAACTTGATCTCTCATCATTCTTGTCAGGTTTCTATGCTTCTCCCAAAGTGCTCCTCTGAGCAGTTCATAAGGGTGTACTATAAGAACATCAATGAAGAAGTCGTTGAGACTGCCCAGAAGCACTTTGATAAGTGGCTCTCAGGTAATTTCTCTGATATCTAACGTGAAATGTACATGACTTGTTATTTTTTATCAGGGGTGATGACCAGCAGTCCTCACCTGCTTTCATATCATCACAAACTAACACAGGTGGGGCTTGCAGGTTAAAGATTTTAGTGATAGATTTTAGTGTTTTAATACAAATGAGCATCAGAAGTTAAACACAAGCACATCATGAGCAGAAAAAAAATTTAAATATTGTCAGAGCTGATTTCTGAGCTGATTTACGACAGACAAGGACTGCAGCTAATGCTTGTTCTAATCTATCATCTAAAGTATATACTGGTCATTTTCTTCTTAATTATGAAGTAAACCTTTGACAAACAGACACTTATAAATGATCAAGTGTCTGATAATAATAATGGGGATGCTGGGATCGAGCCCTTGTTTATAACATTTGTTAACTATTCAAGCTTAAAAAATATCGAGTATAACATTAAAATATCTAGAATTAACTGTTATCAGATATAGATGCTAATAACAGACCATTTCCCTGCTCAAAACTGAAGTTTATATTAGGCACTCTGCACTTCTCTCCTTAATACTAATGGACTAATTCTGTCTTCATTTAAATTACAGACAAAATGGAAATGCAGCAGTAATGAAAAATAAAGCTGAAGATGACCTAAAATGAAAAACATGAAACATTCAGTGACTCATTGAGATTGAGGACTCTAAAATAATGAATACATACTTTTAGTCTGATCTTTTTTTCTTTTATATTAGACTTCTGAAATTTGTAGCTTTATATGTTTTTTTCAAGTGATTAAGTTATAACATAAGAAAAGTATGCAAATATTTAAGAAGACTCAATTTACTTAAAGTACCATATGTTATATATCAGATAATGGTTATATTCATGTCTTATATGCTATAGTGGAGGTTTGAAAAGAGGTAATTACATTGAAGGTTAAAGGACAGATGATCATGGCTGTACATGCTGTAAAACCCAAATGATATTTGTTATTTTATTATTTTAATTTAATTTGCTGGTTGGATGTCTGATTTGGAGAGTGTCATCCTAACGAAAAGATGAGCGGCAGAGTTGAAGGTGATTTTCACTGGGAGCGACCAGGATGAGTACATCAGAGAGACAGCTCAGCGGTTTGAAGACAAAGTTAGAGAAGCAAGCCTGAGATGCTCTGGACATGTGCAGAGGAGGGAAAATTGATATACTGGACAAAGAATGCCGAATATAAGGCTGTCAGGTGTGGAGGAAAAGAGAAATATAACAGAGAAGATTCATGGATATAGTGAAGGACATGAAAGACAGTTGTTTGACACAGGAGGCAGCCAGGGATGGGAAAGATGCAGGCACATGATCCACTGTGGTGACCACCCTAAGTAAGCAATGGAAAGAAGATGACTCTTTGATGAGAACTGACCTCAACATCATAAGTTCATTTTAAGGTCTACTTCTTAAATGTGTGGATTTTCTGCTGTGCAGTCTGCATTTTATCTAATAGTTTGAGATCTTAACTCTTTGTTTTGATGACTGGGAAACTTTAACAGGTGTAAAAGCAGTCTACTTATCCCTTGTGTGTCCCATCAGCTGGAATTCACATTTATTTAGAGAAGGATGACCCACATTGTGAGACTTCAATTAATCTTTAGGGAATGAAAAATAATAATACAAATAAAAATAATTTTAAAAAACCCATGGGAGGTTTAATTAATTTATTTTCATTTGTTTTTCACCCGCTGTACATGTAGTGGAAAATGATTCTTTGCAAAAACTGAAAAAAACAAATGCTTTCTAAATTAGGGTCACATTGTAATGCTTTTTAAATCTTGCTTGTGTCAATAACTACTAGACTGCAGTACTCTAAACATTTATTTGTGTAATTGAAAGTACCACATGGGTTGACACGTTGACATGTAGCAGAAATACAGCTGATCTGTAAACCTGGACCTGCATTTTAGCTGAGTCATATGTTGCAGTAACAGTTGAGGTCTTCCTTGAATGAAAGGTAAATGTAGGGTGGTATGCACACACGAATGAACTGATCTGCTGTACAAAAAATGCTAAATATCCTGCTACATATCATTTTGGGTTAGGGTTAGGTTTATTAGAGCTTATTAGAGTTTATTAGAGCTATTTTTATTTTTATTAGTCTTTGTACCAGATCTCTTGATTCTACAAATGCTGTGTGATCTGCTCTGTGATCTTTGAGAGTGACATCATAATGAAATGGCTACAACCCTGCTTCTTAAAACAATCTGACATAATGTGCTTTAAGTTATGCAAATTCTGGAAAAGATATTGTGGAATGCTTAAAATCACCTTTTTCAAGTCTCTTTTAAAACAGCATTTTTAAAACTAATACTCCATTAAAATAGTAATACTGAAAAACTGTTGGAAGCTGTGATTATATGCCTGTCCATACCTGCTGTGAAAACATCCATTCTACACTGATCATAGTGCAAGTAAACGGGGGTAAAGAAAGTTTTCTTCCCTCACAAATGTGCAGCTGAACATCGTATGATGTATCCCCTGGATAAAAAGATAATTTGATGATTAAAAAAGGAAACACTGAAATCTCAATTTTGCTTCTTTAGGGTTTCACATCTCCTTTCTTTTGCACCCCATTCTTGATGACCATTGTGTACAATTTTCTTTGTCCTAAACTGTGTAGGTAGTTCTTCAGAATGTCATCTGACCAAAGACAAACGAGGCCCCCTTTCTCTGAAACAACGAGACTCCCTCATTATGTGATTCAAGCTGTTGAAAATACATTACAGGAAGTGTTTTACA